GTTTACTGAGAACATATACTGGACATGCATTCAGATTAAAATGTGTGAAGGGCTAGATTTGGATTTCACACACGACTTAAAACATCTTCAGTGTTTGTGACCCAGACTGCTACAAACCTGATCCTCCGCAAACAACAGGGGACAGTGGAGCGACGCAGCCAGCTTCCTGACAGCATCCAGGCGCTCAGCGGGGGCGGAAGCACTCCGAGCTACAAGAAAGAGAAGCATAAAAGGTCAGCTGGTCAGACACAAAAAAGCCTGAAAGTACAACAATATGTGTTGTGGGTGGTGTTCAACGGTGAAGTAAAATGTAAACAGTGGTAGACAATTTCTTCTTGATTTAATCTCAGCTTATTTTTTTCCCTTCTTCCTGTGAATCAAGGGACTGGGGAAAAAACAAAACATAAAACAAAACAAGACAAAAAGAAAAACACATAAAAGGATTTTAACCGTTGCCCTACCATTCGTAACCATGAAGCAAACTTTTCCAAGGAAATATCCCGGGTCCAAATATTTCAGGGACGCTTCTGCTGACTGGAAACTACAACAAAATAAAACAAAACAGAATGAAGCACTGCTACATCGTATCATCTTTGAACTTGTTTTTAACTTAAAATATAAAATATTTTGGACAACGTATGTCAGAGGCATCGGGATCTCGTTTCTGCATGATGACATCAAGTTTCTCCTTCATGAAACCTCAAAATCTGAGGTTTAGTGCTCAGTTTGGGTGAAGGTGACGCTTCAAGTAAGGCGGAGTTTTAAGTACTGGAGATCTTGTATTGAAGAGGACTGAGTGGCACCAGAACGAGCTGTTGATAGTCAGAGTGAATCATTGTGATCATCAACACCATGGTGATCAGGTAAACCACCTGGGCACCTCCTAGATGAGGCGATGGGCAAGTCCTGCTGGAAGGAGGCCCCAGGGCAGTCCCAGAACACACTAGAAAAATAAAGTCTCTGGGCTGGTTTGGGGCAATTTGTGTGGTTTAAAAATGACATCTCACTCTCATAACAATTAAGTAAGAACAACACAAAAACAAAGCTGTTATATGAAGCAGAACCTGTGTATTCAGGTGGCCAGTACAACAAATTGCATCTGGACATGTATGTATTTTTTCATCTTGGTGACTAGGAACAAGTCCAGGTTCCTTTTCAATAGACACTCACTGAAACCAGACAAAAGGAGGGTACCCCTGGATCAGGCCTCCGCGGACTGTGGAGGTTGCACCGACTTCTTCCCACAGTCCTGGCTTAGGTAAGTGTGAGTGTGAATGACTCTTTGTCTCTCTGTGTTTGCCCTATAACAGACCAGTGAGGGTGTACCCCATGACAGCTGGGATTGGCTCCAGCACCCTCGCAACCATGAAATGGATAAGCTGAAAATCGACGGATGGATTTGAAAGTTACCTGAGCTCTGAAGTTAGGTTGATGATGAACACAACCAAGTCTATTCTGGGACGACTCTCATCATTCTCCATGGGCAAAGGAAGGCTCTTAGCTAGTCTCCTGTTAAGTACAAAGAGCGATGACAATCATGGGACTCTTACCCACCTCAGGTGGTCTTCACACATCTCAAAGTCATTGCATAACTGAGTAATTTGCTGCAGCTGCAGAATAACAGTGCAGCATCACGTACGAGTTCCCCAGTCAGAATTTCACAATTATTTAATCATAAAGTCAACATTACATTACCAGCTGGAAACCTGTGATGACGTTGCAGTCTGAGTAGTACAAAAGTCCTTTTCCCAAGTACATAACTACTTGTTTGTTGTTGATTATGAAAAATATTTTGTTACTAAATAAACGTTTACAGTCATACTGTTTAAACATAAATGCGACTGATGGTAGAAAACAAATCTTGTTTCGTTGTGAGGATGGCAGACTCGGTTTCCATTTGTGTGCTGCAGCCACTTTCCCCTGACAGATAGCAGACTTCAGCAGTTTGCAGGATGAAGCGAGCTTTACTCACACGTTCACAGTGACACTGGTCTCCTCCACCAGAACATCTGCTAAACTCTGCTGAAATTGCTCCTCACTCTCCACCAGCTGCAGGAAACAAAAACTACCAGTCAGCACAAAACCTGATGATCCCACTTTACACCATCACACAGGTTAAAAAAAAATCTCTTAAACCTGTCAGAAGAAACATTTCGCAGTCACAGTTCAAAGATGTTGCCACTTTCTTTTTTTTTTACAGCGGCTTTTGCTCATATAGAGATTTATGATGATAAAATCATAAATTACAATGCAATAAAACATTCTGAAAAATATTAATTTATACAGACTGTGATCTAATTTGACTGTGGTTACAGTGAGAGGCTATGGAAAATAAAAGGACCACCCTCTGCACCACCTACTGGCCAGACATCAGCAATTTATCCAACATTTGTTTTCAGCTGCTGCAAGGACAAATACTTAAAGCCCGTTAAAAATAATCATCTGACCTCCTGAAGCAACCCTGAACCCTAAAATGGAAGCAAACGCTCTATTTTGGAAAATATGAATGGATTCTTTGCATTTTGTTAGAGTTGTGGCAAGGGGTATGTGCAAAGCCCCACAAAATATTTTAATGTATTTAAAGACACATAACAGTGGAGTGATGGGTTGGTTAAAGTGGTTAAAGAAAATGAATTTAATGAATTTAACAATTTTCAGTATAAAAATATTTCATCTCCTGTGTCGTGCCATTTTTAATAGCACGTGTGCTGCTGCAACAGCCTGAAAATCATACTCAATGTTTCTGCAACAATATTCTCCTCTGTATTTATTGGGAATGTGGTGTATCAAATCGTCTGTTATAATACAAATTTTCATATAATATAAAAAAATCTCACTGATATAGTGATGTCATGGGTTTATCCTCCCTAATGTGGACAACAAGATGTATGCCTCTAGTGAAGGCCTAGTGAAAGATACTACAAAATAAAAGCACAATGATTTGCCAAATATGCACAAAAACTATTCTAGCTGAAGATGGAAGCTACAACATTGTTTCTTCAGGCACAAACACACCATTGAGGACAACCGGGATATGTAGGTGCGCAAGGAGGAGATACTAACAGCTGGTGAAGTGTGACAACTTTTAAACAAGGGCATCGCTGGAGCACTGCACTCCATATGACACGAAGAGCACGTGTTGGATGGAAATTAGCGGTAAAGTACAGGTTTATGCAACTGCATAAAATGCAATATTCCAGAGAGAATATATTTTTATTTATGTGACAGTGTTGTAAGGGTTATTTTAGTTTAACTGTTGTTAGAATGTTTTGTTTGCTTAAAATTTCCAGGGAAAACACTACCTAGGCTACTTTTGAGCTTACATTTGACTTCTGCTGTGTGTCACTATTACTCTATGTTGCTGCTGGCAATGGATTCACACCTTGAACCAGGTAGTCTGCCAGGTGGATGTAAGATACCCTTCATATTTGTTTGCGCTAACAAATCTTTTGCCTGCAGTAAAAAAAAAAAATTGTTCAGTACTTTTTTCAATATTGTAACAATATCGTTATTATAAATTTCCTTGAAATATTGCGATAGAATTTTGAGGTTATATATCACCTGCCCCTAGTATTTACTTAAGAGAAAATATTCTGAAGGTTCCCCCTGAAACAAATAACAACAACAAAATCCTGCCTCTAGTTCTTCTGCTGCTCACTTCAGGGGTCACCACAGCAGATCATCGCCCTCATCTCACACTATCCTTAGCATCCTCCCTGTCACACCAACCCTGTGCACATCCACAATCCTTCTTTTCCTTAAGTCCTTCTCACGCCTTTCCTTCCTTCTTGCTGTCTCTAAACACGCCTTTCCTTTTCCTTTGTCTTACAGTAGCACGATTTCCACCAGCACCACAGGCAGTCGCTGTCATCCCGGTATGGAAAGATCATTCTTGATGACCCGCATGTTTGTTTGGGTTGGCAAGATTTTGCACGCTTCCTGACACAACCCTCCCCTTTTATCTGGGCTTGGGATCCCACCCTCCTTCGGACTGAATTGGAAACGCCTCTGGTTGTGGGTGTTATAGAGCTATTATAGAATAAAAGTATTATAAAAACGTTGAGATAGTGTTTGTTAGGTAGATCGACAGAAAAGTCAAGATTTATCCACACAACACCGACGACGCCAAACAGCTGCTAGACTGTGTAAAAACCTCTTCCTGATACAGTCATATTTGTCTTTATTTAAAGCTTAAATGTGATTTTGCTAGTCCAAGCTGACGACCATATATCTGGGATATTTACGACCAGATATCTCCCAATAAAAAACACATCCAGTCAGCCGTTAGCTCGTCCTGAAAACAGCTACAGTCACAGCACACAGCTCGATATTTGCCTTTTCTTTTTAAAATTTTATTTCTTAAAATGAACAACTCACCAAGATGTTCGCTGTGTTCAGACCAGGGAGTTTACTAAAAGGCTTCAACAACGACATCCTCGCTAAACTTGATAAAGTTTTGTAAACAAACCCGGGGCGGACATTTCTTTCTCTCGCGCTTCTTTTCCAAACATGCGTCTGGCGTCATGACGTATACCAATCTTCATTGGCTGTTTTCTTCTGCCACCTACAGGCCGCCGGGAGTCATGCACCTTTGGCAAGCGTGGACCTACCTCACATTCAGATTAGATCGGTTACTATACAACTGGTTATTCATACATTCATCCCATATAAACTGGAACTTGACAGTATATATACGTATATACAATATATAGGTATTTACAACAAAGAGAATATACAGCATGCTTTGATTCAGCAACAGTATATGAATGTTTGAATGTTTTAGTGAAGACGATACCTTGTTTTTTGCATTTTATGTAGTTCTCACTCTGATTTTAATTTCCTCATAACTTGATGTACCCGGGACGCAACGTCATGACAGAAAGAGAAACGTGTACCTTCCATACCTGTAATGTGTACATTTTTAAATATATATCTACATAGTTATTCATATTTTGATATCTTACATTAAATCCTTCAGTCTACCGGTAAGTACAACCTGCGGAAAAGAGCATCAAAACTGTAAAGCTCAGACTTTTCCAACGTCTTCCTGCTATCTTTTCCACCACCAAAAGCAGCTCCTGTTACCTGAAAATTTTGGCTTCACTTTTGCATGAGGAAGTGGAGCTAGGGCATCCATCTTTACAAACAGCACCAGGCAAATGTTTAGACATGGTGAGTGTGAAGTTGTATGGATTCATACTCAGTGTTACATGAATCCATAGGCATGATTATGTTTTGTCCTCTAATAACCATTACCGCATAATCACTGGCAACTTTATTAGGTAAATCTTGCTAGCACCAGGCTGGACCCTCTTTTGCCCACAGAACTGCCTTAATTCATCAAGGCCTAGATTCAACAAAGTGCCAGAAAGATTCCTCAGATTTTGATTCATATTAACAGAAAATCATCACAAAGTTGTTGCAAATTTGCCAGATGGTGACTGTGGAGGCCATTTGAAATATCCATCAGAAGATGGGTACACTGTGGTCATAAAATAATCTGTGTAATTGAGCAGCAATACTCAGTATGTGGTGTTTAAACAACGTTCAGATGGTCAGGTGTGCCAAGAAAATATCCCCACTACAACACCCAAGTCTCAGCATCCTGAACCTTTCATATGGACAAGACTAGATCAATGCTTTCATGTTTTAAGCCCAATTCCAACCCTACCACCCACATCTCACAGCAGAAAATGAGAATCATTAGAAAAGTCAACAGTTTTACAATCTTATGGTTTCTCCTGCAAATTGCAGCCAGTTTCCTGTTATTAGCTGACAGGAGTGGGGTGGAGTGTGGTCTTTTGCTGCCACAGCCAATCTGCTTCAAGGTTCAACGTACTGCAAATTCAGAGATGAGCTCCTCCATAACTTGGTTGTTACAAGTTATTTGAGTTATTGGCGCCTTCCTATCAGCCGTTCTCCTCTCACATCTAGTATCAAGACAACATTTCCAATCAGAGAACATCAACTTACTGGATATTTTCTCTTTTTCAGACCATTCTCTGTAAACCCTAGATGGCAGTCTAAATCATCAGTAAAATATACAGAACGGCCCATCTGACAACAACAACCATCCCCAATGTACTTAAACCACTGCCCATTTTGATGGTCAGCTTGAACCTGTCTTTATGTCTAAATGGACCCAGTTGCTGCTGTGATTGACTAATTAGTAGCTGAACAGGTGTACCTAATGAAGTGGGTGGAGTGTGTATGTGGTTTTCAGCAATGTCTCTATATAAGAAGACAGCATTTTTGGGTGATTTGTTTTAAACACATGGAAATACACTTCACTGAAAACCAACACAACAGCTCTGCCACAACCTTCTTCACCTTTAGGCAACATCATCAGGAAGCTGTGATGAACTGATCTACATTTCTTTCATTCCATAATAGGAGGGAAAAAAAATAGAAACCTATTTGTATAATGTTAAAAAATGTGTCTGACTATAATTGAGGTATCCCCCCCAATTAAAGCTTAAAAACAAACCACAACAAAAAACTGTTGCACTCCAACCACACAACTTTTGCTGCCAAGGTGGGTTTAATCTGATGCAGCTGTAAAAAGCAGGAGACAAGTTAGAGAGAAATCTGGATAACATTTTTTGTTTGAATGGAAGCCAAAAAAAATAAATACAAAATCATTCAATTAATGGTGGCACAGCAAAGTTGACCCCCCCCCTCTGAAAAGTGTCAAGTCAAATATTCACATAATTTATATACCTCCTGGTCTAGGGAGAAATACTCGGATGACATATTTTGGGTGGGTGAGAGTGAGTGAGTTTATATTCAAAGTACAAGCTCATCACAGCATCTTAACCGATGCATGTCAAATCTGCGAAATGAGATTGTCATGGCTTGAAGGCAGCAAGTAAAACAACCATAAGAAGTGCCTTCAGTCATTCACACCTCATTTCAAGCATTACTGCAAGGGCCACGCCACATTATCGAGACTGAACGTGCTACTGAAACTGAGGTTCCTAAGGGAACGGGATAAACAGTATTAACATTAAACTAAGGATAAAAAAGTACAGCACTTTGTGTGAGTAAAATAAAAATGGACTTAAAGCAGTCTTCTCACCACTCTTCCCCTCATCAGTGTGAAAGTAACTGTACACAGGACCATTGACATGACATGAAAAATGACGACTACACTGCTTCCAGATCAGCTTCGCCTCATTCTTATAAAACTGGTTTGCATGTTTCTGTGACCACCACCACCGACCACCACCCCACCTAATATACATGTCCCGTTTTCAACATGAACACGTATACAAAGTCAACACAAGCGCACACACTCGCACCAGCAGGCTCACATCTCTCCATGCTCTTATTATGTTTTTTACTAAATAATATATCCAAATTAAACTCTTTGGAGGCGCCCCCTGCTGTTCATATCTCCCCGGACTCTCGCTCTTCCGAGCTGGACCGTCGGTCCCGTTCGCACGACACGGATCTCTCTCGTTCCTTTTCCCTGGCCATGTCTGGAGAGGTGGACCTCTCCCTGTCCTCCCAGTCTCTGTAATCTGCTCTGTCGCCACGCCATCCATCTCCTGCACCCTCCCTCCATCTCTCCTGAGACACTGAGCGCTCTCTGTCGCGGGTGTGAGATGATCTGTCCTTGGAGGATCTGAAAAAGTGAGAGAGAGAAAAAACAAAAGAATCAGTGACGTCTGCTATGGAATGAAAATGCTGAAGAAAGGTCCATGGTTAGAAAGATGGTTGGTAATATTTGGCTGGTTACATTTAATTTTAAACTAATTATTACACATGTGACCACAAAACCAAGAGGTTTTGCACAAAGTAGCTACTTGTCGATCAGAATGTACCACACTTTCCCTTATTTATGACTAATAGGTATCATATTTTACCAAATGCACATCATTGTCTATTCTTTAAGAACTGAAACTAGCAGCCGAGACCTTAAACTCATCAGCTTTTTGTTTACTCAGGTAATAAATGCAATGGGAACTAGGATAATATTTTCATACTTTAGGACAAACCACTGGTTGACGTTACAGTGGCTAAGTCCACCTTTTAAATACAGTCTATGGTTTCTGAATGTCAAAATGATCTATAATCCAAGAAGAAAAATGATCAAGCACCTTATAGCCATATACATATTACTATATATAATGAATAGATGTTATAAATATGTGCAACAGTGTGTAAAGCTCTAGTACTTGTAGTATTCATTTAAAAGAATCACTTGAAACTATTTAAAATTGACCTTTTAATTCAGATGTTACGCCACACCGGTCATGATGCAGATTTCTGCAAGTTTCAGTGATGAATAAAATCTGCACCTTTTCTTTTTGCGTCTGTGTGAGTGGGAGCGTGAGCGATGTCTATCCTTGTGTCGATGTTTCCTCTCCCTCTCCCTCTCCCGATCCCGTTCCCCACCTTCTTCTCTGGAGTGAGAGGAGCGGTGGCGCCTTGAACGATGGGAGGACGAACTGCCTCCATCCCTGGATAAATCATTTTCAGCAGGGAAAAAAAAAAGAAAAAAGAAAAAGAAGAAAAGGATATTGTTTAGGTCTAAAAAAAAAGAAAAAAAAAAAAAAAAAAGGGGGGGGGTTGGCTGTACTGATGTGTGCTATAAATTTAGATAAAGACTTTGTGGGAATTCGGAAGCATTTTGTCTTGTAAATGACATCTTGTACGAGAAGTATACGTCAGTATACGTACGAATTTGCCGTTTTCCTCTCTGCTCTTTTACCAGGAAAGCAGAGGTTTGAGTATTTTTGTGGCATATTTGTGTATTTGTGGTTATGGCATTAATAACCCCACTGCGTGCATTTACAGATACCGCACCATTCGGCTTTATATTGTGTGAAATTACAAGTCGCCTTGCCAACCTGGGAAAAAAAACTTATCAAGTGATGCTTGCATACCTGTATCGGTCTCCACTCCTAGATCTTGACCTTAAAAAAAGAGACACTTCAGTTTCCCGATGACTTGAAACCTTTTCACAGTAACGACAGATTCTGATCATTTACCTCCTTCGGTCCCTTTCTCTCTCCCACTCTCGCTCTCGTTCCCGCTGTCTTTCTCTCTCTCGCTCCCTTTCCCGTTCTTTCTCCCGCTCCCTCTCCAGCTCCCACTGTCGCTCTCTTTCATCTTCTTTTTCACGTTCCTCTCGCCGCCTCGTGCGCATTCTTTCTTGTTTGTCGACAACAGCTTTCTGAATTAAAAAAATAAATGAATGAAGTCAACAGGCCTAACAGGGAGACAAACCCCCGAATCTATTCTTATCCCTCACATCTTATGACTTTCTGAACTGATCAAACTTGTTTGACGTGCAAATTAATTCTTCTTGTTTTCGATTTGATTCCTTACGTGTTTCTTGTCACTTTGAAGCTTTATTTGGAAAAGTGTTGTATAAATGAAATGACTAAATTGGATACAGCTGAGCATACTGCCTCCTTAACTGTAGTTTGTATAACACTGTACAGATACATTTGTGGTACTAATCAATACTCATGCATATAGTAGCATAGACCTGCTCCAGGACATCCTTACCCTTAGCTTTTCAAGCTTCTCACGGATTTCAATAAAACCGAGGTGCAGCTTCCC